GAATTTTTTTACTGGACAGGAGACAAAAATACTGGAATGTTCAGGTGAATACCGGACACCTGGCAACCCTAACCCTCTGAAAGGGGGGTTGGCGAGCATAGTGAGCAGGGGGCACTGCCCCCAGTTACATTACATTATTGTTTAAGTTGTCATTCAATTTTTTTTGCAAAGTAGCATGCATTAATGTGTTTTATATACATATCAAAGTACATAATAGAAGTCTAGAGTCATACATAAGTCAAATATGAACTGACGATTCTTCACTCCTTCATTGTTTAAGGGCTACCTACAATTCCCTCTAAAATTTTATTTTATTGACTTCAACATGAGTCCAATATTTTTAGCATTCATATAGATCCAAATGTTTTTCACCTCAGTCAAGAACGTCTGTGACACATTCACTGACACCATCCCATCTATGAAGTTAAGTTGCTCTTTAATCTTTTGCCTTAAAACTACAGTCACTTTTCTTGGTTTACAGATCCATAAGAGGGACATTGAGGTCTACATTTACATGATACAACCTACTCCACAAAATACAACCTTGTATTCTTTAAGAATATCATATGCAGTAGCTTTGGCTCCAGTGTCTGGATGTGTACACATGGTGATTCCAATCCTGAAGGCCTAGCTCAGACTAAGCTTCATTAAAGTCAGTAGGAGTTTTGCTTTAAGGAGAGTTGAAAAAGAACTAGCCATTTTTCCAGAAATAGTCTGGATTTCTGGAAATCAGAGGGTAAAAGAGAAATTATAATTAAAAAGTATTCACTTCACATATTTTCTCCCTACACCCCAACATGTCTTGCCAGAAAGGCATACCTGAAGATGATTAAGTGCGAAAAACACTTGAAAGTGACTTGCACACATGATGCGGCCTTATATTTTTTGTTAATTGTTGACAAATGAAGGCCATTTCACATATATGTAATTTAAAAATTGTGTGTATTGTGGCCCCTGTTTGGTGTAATGTCCCATCACAGACTGCTGGTGACATCACACCCAGCGAAGAAACTTTTTGCTTTCAAAATATTTCCTATGTTTTTACATTTTTCCACATTTTTTATTTTTTTTCATGTTTACATTTTATGAGTAGTAAAAATAATAAAAATAATAAACATTCTCAGTAAAGCAAAATATGAAATAGTAAATGTTTGTGGCCCACTGTTTTTTGTGAATATTTTATTGTTATCTCCTGATCAGTCTTTCATTTTGAGATTTTCTATTTTCATCACCATAGTTTCATCTCTTCCCACTTCAGACTGGTTAATAATTGAAGGCAATCGATGAAATCTAAACTGTATCTTTACTTAGCTAGCCTACATTTGCTAGGCCCAAAACCAGTTCTCTTTTATTTTTTTATGTGTTCATTGTATTTTAATTTCTGAAGTAGCATATGCTATGTTGTGTTCACTTGTGAATTATGTGCTTTAGACCAGGAAAAGGTTTACATAGATTCTAACTCCCTGGTTCACTGTAAATATGAGGCAGTTGTAAAAAAATAATTCCCATTTGGCAAAGCTAACCATTTATTCAGCATCTAATCATTTGCTTCATTACTGAACTAAGCATTACAATAAAAAGTTTTCCACTCATATCCAGAACCCCACTTTGAAAACACAATGGTTTCCCAAATTCCAAGAGATGCTATAAAACATATGCAGGTAGGTAAGTTCTTATTTTTTTTATTGACATTTGTCTGGTTATCTCTTTGAATTTATAAGTGACACACTTTTACATACCCTCCCTCTCCCCAGATATGTAAATTAGATCCTTTATATCAGGAGTGTGAGCAGAATGGCCAGCAGTTGCCAGAAAAGGATATAATTTTGATTACTTCTTTCTATATCAGGGGTGGGCAATAATTTTTGGTGGGGGGGCCACTCCAAGATTTTGGAAAGTGGTCAAAGGCCGCACTTTCTGTGGAGGAGATGCAGGGTCTAGGATGAGCGTTGGGTGCAGAAGGGCGCACGGGGTAAGGGACTGGGGTGCAGGAGACAGCGTGAGGTCTTAGAGGGAGTATAGGTGAAGTAGGGGGATGTGACCTGGGTCAGGAGATTGGGGTGTAGGGTCAGGGATGGAGTATGGATGCAAGAGAGGATTCTGGCCTAGGGGAGGGGCTCTAGGAGGGGATGCAAAGTCTGGGAGGGAATTGTTACCTGGGAGAAGGGAAAAGGGGGTGCAGACTGCAGAGGGTTTGGGTGGTGATCTGGGGCAGGGGAATGGGGTGCACGGTCAGGGAGGGGATGTGGGTACAGGAAAGGTTTCTGGCCTAGGGGTGGGGTAAAGGAGGAGAACAGGATCTGGGATGGAACTGTGACCTGGGGCAAGAGGGTGTAGAGGTTTTGGTTGGTGACCTGGGAGGCGTAGGGGCATAGGAAGGGCTGGGGTGCCAAAGGTAAGCTCTGATGGGAGGCGTTTACCTCAGTCTATGTCTACACGGCAGGTGTTTTGCGGAAGAAGAAATGCAAATGAGTGCTCATTTGCATATTCCATACTCTCATTTGCATATCTTCTTCTGATCCTTTTTGCAGAAGAGGTTTTTGCGATAAAAAGCCCTGTATAGATGGGGCCATTTGTCAGAAAAAAACCCACCTTTTGCGCAAGAGCCTGTAAACCTTATTTTTTGAGGGCTAGATCTGGTGCCCAGGCTATATTTTGCTAAGCCCTGATCTATATTAAGATCAGTAGAACATTCCCATCGATGGAATGTATTATTTCAGATACTGTTTTAGAGGGCTTACTCAATTTGTTGTGTATGTGAGGGAATAGGGAGTCACTTTAAAGGATAGCAAGAGAAAGTGTAACTGCTACCCACACAGTTACAATCCAATAGTCATGTATGATAAACCAATGAATCATGGCCATGCAGTAATATACAGTACATATTCTTCTAAAAATGTGACCCCAACATAAATGACCCCAACTGAATACTATATGCTGTGAAGAAAGTACTGTCTGGCTTGGAATAAAGTCCTGCAGAGACCTCATGTCAATGGAGAGGCCATTGAGATCTTTATATGGATGAGTGGGTATCAGCAAGGTCCGAGCTTTTCAGAGATAGTAAAAAGTAAAGGGATTTCCTATAATACAAAATCTTCAAAATAGATTTGACTATTTATACACAAATGCTGCCTCACATGACTGTTATTCAGCACATCAAAGATACACAGCATGTAAAATGTTACAGTGTATAATTTTTCACTTGTGAGACAAATGGAGTAAAATTGGAGTTGCTACTGAGTACATCACCTTTGATGTAACTACTACCGACAGAACTTCCTAATGCAATGGAAATTCCTATGGCAATCCTAGTCAAACATAACCATAAGCTCTTTACTAACCTTGAGTTTAGACCATATTCCACACAATCTGCAATTCTTTCTTCTCCTGAAAATGTATTTTATTAACACTAAAGACCCAATACATTTTAGCGTATCTATTTCAATGTCCAAAACATTGAGAAAATATATTTACTCACTGATACTGGGTGGCAAAAAAAGTCCATTTATATTACGAGGTTTGCTATGATGGAAGACACAACTGATCCTCACACAACCTAAAGGCTGCGTTTCCCAGAAACATAAGATTCTGTTGTATTTTTGCTACAGGAAAAATAAAAAGGGATAGTTTTCAGATATGATAATTAATAACAAACAACAAATAATAAAGGACAGAACACTGATTAGTACCATAAAAGAAGAAATATAGTATTGTGGGGAAGGTATAAAGTTAGGACACATGTGGCCTAATTCTGATCTTTTATAGCAGTGTAAATTAGGAATTTCTTCACTGTGACCAATGGGTTTTACTCCTGGCTCTGCTACAGAATTTCTGTAATGTTTAGAAAAAAACATTAATTTTCTAATATCTCTAATTAACTTAATTTTTGTGTCCCAGGGCTTGAACAGTTACTGTGCAGCAAGTTGGGGAGGAGGGTCTGGTTAATCTACTTCACATTAATGTGCCACACACTAACTGTACATGGGAACGTTGCTACCACACATTAAAAGTCCCAATAATGTGCTTTGATCTATTCCTGTTTGAAATGGGAGCAGAACAAAGGGAGCTAAGGAATTTTTAGAGTGAGGGAGCAGGGTCCACATGGAAAGTTAGTGAAGATCACACTAATGTAAGACAGACCTATTCCCCAACTTGCTGTACACTCACTGTTCAATTAGACAAGCATTTGGTTTCCTTATCTGTAAAATAGGGATACTAATACACACCTCATAGACATGTTGTGCAATTAAATACATTCATGTTTATAATGTGCTTTGAGATCCTTAGATGAAATAATAATAATAAAATTAAAGGAAAAGCGATTAACATCCAGTTAAGTTTTCAATCTTGCAGTATATACTACAGGTCGGACCTCCATGGTCCAGCACCCTTAGGACCTGACTGGACCCGAACAAGGGAATTTGCCAGACCAGGGCAAGTCCCCTGTCACCGGCCTCCCAGGCACTGCCAGCTCTGCTTCTGGCCCCAGCCAGCACCCACTGCCTTCAGCTGGCTGTGCTGCCAACCCTGGCTGAACTTCTTCTTCCTGGGACTCCCAGCTGCGGCGTTCCCCACGCCACCTGAGCCCCCTGCCGCAGGGCTCCAGCTGCACGGAGGGCTCCCTGAGCTGCCTGAGCCCCTTCCACACTCCTGGCTGTACTGCTGGTGGCTCATACAGAGCACATCGCTGCAGGGAGCAGCTCTGTACAAACCACTGAAGTTCCCTGTGCCACTTGACCCCCTGCTGCTGGGCTCTGCTGGACCAGAACACCTTTGATGTAACTACTACCGACAGAACTTCCTAATGCAATGGAAATTCCTATGGCAATCCTAGTCAAACATAACCATAAGCTCTTTACTAACCTTGAGTTTAGACCATATTCCACACAATCTGCAATTCTTTCTTCTCCTGAAAATGTATTTTATTAACACTAAAGACCCAATACATTTTAGCGTATCTATTTCAATGTCCAAAACATTGAGAAAATATATTTACTCACTGATACTGGGTGGCAAAAAAAGTCCATTTATATTACGAGGTTTGCTATGATGGAAGACACAACTGATCCTCACACAACCTAAAGGCTGCGTTTCCCAGAAACATAAGATTCTGTTGTATTTTTGCTACAGGAAAAATAAAAAGGGATAGTTTTCAGATATGATAATTAATAACAAACAACAAATAATAAAGGACAGAACACTGATTAGTACCATAAAAGAAGAAATATAGTATTGTGGGGAAGGTATAAAGTTAGGACACATGTGGCCTAATTCTGATCTTTTATAGCAGTGTAAATTAGGAATTTCTTCACTGTGACCAATGGGTTTTACTCCTGGCTCTGCTACAGAATTTCTGTAATGTTTAGAAAAAAACATTAATTTTCTAATATCTCTAATTAACTTAATTTTTGTGTCCCAGGGCTTGAACAGTTACTGTGCAGCAAGTTGGGGAGGAGGGTCTGGTTAATCTACTTCACATTAATGTGCCACACACTAACTGTACATGGGAACGTTGCTACCACACATTAAAAGTCCCAATAATGTGCTTTGATCTATTCCTGTTTGAAATGGGAGCAGAACAAAGGGAGCTAAGGAATTTTTAGAGTGAGGGAGCAGGGTCCACATGGAAAGTTAGTGAAGATCACACTAATGTAAGACAGACCTATTCCCCAACTTGCTGTACACTCACTGTTCAATTAGACAAGCATTTGGTTTCCTTATCTGTAAAATAGGGATACTAATACACACCTCATAGACATGTTGTGCAATTAAATACATTCATGTTTATAATGTGCTTTGAGATCCTTAGATGAAATAATAATAATAAAATTAAAGGAAAAGCGATTAACATCCAGTTAAGTTTTCAATCTTGCAGTATATACTACAGGTCGGACCTCCATGGTCCAGCACCCTTAGGACCTGACTGGACCCGAACAAGGGAATTTGCCAGACCAGGGCAAGTCCCCTGTCACCGGCCTCCCAGGCACTGCCAGCTCTGCTTCTGGCCCCAGCCAGCACCCACTGCCTTCAGCTGGCTGTGCTGCCAACCCTGGCTGAACTTCTTCTTCCTGGGACTCCCAGCTGCGGCGTTCCCCACGCCACCTGAGCCCCCTGCCGCAGGGCTCCAGCTGCACGGAGGGCTCCCTGAGCTGCCTGAGCCCCTTCCACACTCCTGGCTGTACTGCTGGTGGCTCATACAGAGCACATCGCTGCAGGGAGCAGCTCTGTACAAACCACTGAAGTTCCCTGTGCCACTTGACCCCCTGCTGCTGGGCTCTGCTGGACCAGAAAGTCCCAATTTAAGGAGGTACAACCTGTGGACTAAAGAAGAATATTGTCTGACCACAAGGTCTTCATATTTAAATGTGACCTTGGATGTCAGATATGTAGAGCCCTGCATATTTGCAGATATCCATGGACCATTTTTGCAGACAGTGGAGTGGATACCCACAAAGAGTTCTCCCTCCATATGCCCAGACATCACGTGGAGGGGAGGGTGTGCCAGGGCAGGCCCCTGCACTGCCAGCAGGGATGGAGTGCAACAGGTTCCTAAATCTCCCTGCCTGAGGGGCCAAGTTTCAGCCCTGCCAGGGACCCCCACTCCTGCCTGGTGAGCACTGACCTGCGGGAGCCCAGGGTCAGGGTCAGGGACACATACATGTTGCCCACCCGACGATGCTGTTCTATGCTGCTGGCTAGTCCACGTGGGAGCATGTGTGGGGGAGATAGCTGATTTTCCAGAGAGGAGGAGGGATCCCAGCAAAGCAGCAAGCTGCCCTGTTTAGAGTGAGCAGGGCCCAGCTCTCTGAGGCAGTAGTTGACAATGCAGGGGCAGCACCCCAGACACTGGTAAGCTCCTGAGCAGCAGCCCCCCCCCCATGCCTTAGGGTTTGGAGAGGCAGGGCCCCAAGGCAATACCCCTCTGCCCTGCTGTGATCTGACAGAAGCTACTGCTGCGTGGTGCCATCGCTCATGAGCCCCCAGCAGCAGCACAAGATGCAAATCTCTTCCCTTCCTTCCATTCCTTGCTCTTGCCTGTGAGGCCCTGTGATGCTCCTTACCCTCAGTCCTGTTCTCATGCTGCCTACCGCTTCCCTGCAAGTCCCTGCCCCAGCCTTACTCATCTGTGCTCCCTCCCCCCTCTTTTCCAGATGGCTTACTATGTGGTTGAGGATGAAAGTAAAATCCAGTTAGTGGATTTTGGATCAGATGATGTGCTGAGCGTGGTGGACTGGATAAGGATCCACATTTTTATATCCATGCAGAGCTCTACAGAGATGAAGTTTAACAGACATGAGGTCAATTTTACTTTAAGAGTGAGGGTACTTCAAGAAACACATATACCTGTATTTCCATATGTCTAAATCTGCAAAGGTGATGTGAACATCTTCCCTCTCTCCATAATGAACAAACAGTCTCACTGCCAAGAGCTTTTTCACAGTGACGAAATCGGCATTTGGAACCCTAAGATACACACAAAAAAACCCCAAATAGGTAAATCAAAGTTGTATGATGTGAAAAACCCATGGGCCAGTAGTTAGTTTATATTTTCTTGGTTTCTATTTTTATTTTATCTTTATTAATGAGAATGTTAACAGTACACTTGTTTATAGGACAGTATTATCGTTATGACAACTTATCTGCAATCAATGAAAAAAGTTTTAGGACCTGATTCACTGATGCTAGTGTAGCTCTGCGACGTGCAATTTTGCCACACAGGTGAAAATCCCAAGCCAAATGGTAGTTACAAACCTATGAAACTGAGGCCAGAAGAGACCACTAGACTCAGTGAAGGTGCTACTGATTTATGCCAGTGTAAATGGAAATTGAGTCCTTAATGTCACATGAATTATGCAGTAATTGCTTTTTTCAGTCTAATTTACATACCTGAATCTAGGGGGCTTCCACTGTTTAAGAGCAGGAGCGACTGCTCCTCAGTCTATTGGATATTACAGTTTTCCTGATATCCAGTCTAAATTTTCTCTTACCCAGCTTTATCCCTTTACTCCTATTTATATTCCACTGGATCACTCTAAACAGCTCCTCATCCTTCCTATTGTTTTGGAATGAGTTCGAACTAGGGTGGTTAATGTAGGCAACCGGAGTTGCAAATGAAGCCCGGGATTTGAATTTCCCAGGCTTCATTTGCATATTGCAGGGCGCCGCCATTTTTAAATGTCTGCTAGTTCGGACTCCATGCCCGCGGCTACACGCGGCACGAACTAGGTAGTTCGGATTAGGCTTTCTATTCCGAACTACTGTTACTCCTTGTGGAATGAGTTCGAACTAGGGTGGTTAATGTAGGCAACCGGAGTTGCAAATGAAGCCCGGGATTTGAAGCCTAGTTCGAACTAGGGTGGTAGTGTAGACATACCCTCAGATACTTGCAAATGTTATCATAAGTTATACTCTTCATTCTCTGCTACATAAGAGCTATGCTCAGAGGTCGTTGGCCGTGGCAGTGCTGAAAGCTGGCTGCTGCTTAGCCCCAGTGGACATAAAAAAAACCCCCCCAAAAACAAGAGGCCTTTTCTAGCATCCATGGCTGGTAAAAGGTCAGTAATGGGGCTTAAGAAAGCAGATCAGGAATAGAAAAGCTCATCTCAACCATGTCCCAATGCCAACCCCAGTCATCAATTGACACAATTCTTTCCTCCCCCTTACAGCAGAAATATTAGGGCAGCTGATGTTATGCAGCACAAAATAAATTAGCAGACTGGGGGGATGCCCCTTAATCTTTTCTCATAACTCAAGCATGCCAGCTACTTAATCCTTTTCTTCCTCTTCCTTTGATTCCTTCCAGCTAGTCAACATCCTTTTGGTTCTGAAGGGTCCCATTGACAGGCAGCTTTACAGATGTAGTCTCATCATGTCTGAAATCCACATGGGAGCATGGAGGGGTATGACACATATGTCAAATGCTCTCTTGTGCATTGACACACATTAAATGCTTTCTTGTGCTAGCAAGCATTTATATGGGTTAAATTTAATTTTACTTTATTTTCTTTCCATTATTTTTCTGCCATTTTTGGAGACTGCAATACCACCTAATTTTGTAACAGATGTGAATTTAAATACCATTTATTCCTTTCCAGAGCATCATTAAAGACATTAATTATAATAGGGTCAAAATGCTATCTGTAAAATGTACTGCATCACTGGCTAGATTGGTAATATAGTCCAGGGATTTGTACTAAGAGTAATTAGTACCTGTTCAGTAAGGCCCTGATCCTACAATTGGATGTGCTAGGATATACTCCTGCCATACTCCATAGATTTTCCCTACCGGGGACATTCTCACTTCTCCAAGGGGTGATAACATCGGGAACAATGTGACTTCAAGAAGGTAGTTTGAAGGAAACTCAGGTAATCACACTATCAATACCATATACCAGGCAAAGTTCTGGTTGTCTAACAAATTTATAAATGTTGTTTATCACAGGCTATACACGTGCTGTTTAAATGAAATGGGAGAAGTGGGTTAAGGAATCTTTATGCAGTGTTTGCAAAAAGCGACCTTGCATAGTACACGTTTTTCATTAATGAAGCCCTTTTGGAGCTTGAGCTTGATTTTCAGAACTAATGAGCAAACACAAATCAATCTGAAGTGAATGAAAACTGAAGCTCCTCATAACCTCTCAAAATCAGGACCTGTGTGTGTCAAATATACATGGAGACAGCACACTTAGTCACATATATATCAGTATATTAAGAAGAGACATAAGTTGAAACTATAAATGTCTCCTTATAGCAGAAAAATCAAAGGTGCAAACCACTGTAAATTCTACAATATTTACCTTTATGCAGGTGGAATAAAAATAGAAATAGCAGTCATTCCCAACTTCTGCCATTGTCACCTCTTGTACTTCTACTCCACTGTCTTTATACAAGAAGGGTATAAACATACAGGTAAGAACTATCAATGTGTATGGAAAAAAAATTTCTTTTTCTGGAGACAGTGGTTTTCAGGATCTAAGCTCTATTTTCTTTTAAAAACAGACCTCCAATTATAGTATATCTCAAAATTATACTTAAACTAATTACAAATCAGACGGTACCTTCTCCAGGTTTGCCGAAGTGATGAAACATTCAAAGTGGTTGCTAGTCAGTGCACAAATTCAAACTTCCAGAATTTCTCTCATTGTTGTTAGTTCTTATGACATCATGACTTATGACATCACATGACCCTTTAGACTGCGACTGCTCACATATTTTCATTGCTGTTGAGTAAAACAGGGGAAAAAAGAAAGCTGTTCTGTTATTCTAGTGTTTCTCTGATTCAGAACCAACTGGAACACAATTTAAATGAGCTAACCAATGTAGAACATTTATGTAACTGATAAAGGAACAAATACAGTTATAGATGTCTCAATCCCAAGACAGGCGAGGTAATTAGCTTTTATTGGACCAATTTCCTTGGTGAGAGAGATAAGCTGTTGAGCCACACGGAGGTCTTCTTCAGGACTAGGAAAGGTATTCCCTCGCAGCATCACAGCAAAATGCAAGACTGTTTAGTTAAGTAGTTAGCACATATTGTCAGGAATCATTCAAGGCAGAGTGGTCCATGAACCAGTCATAGGACAAAAAGGAGTTAGGGTATGTCTACACTGCCACCCTAGTTCGAACTAGAGTGGCTAATGTAGGCATTCAAAGTTGCAAATGAAGCCCGGGATTTAAATATCCCGGGATTCATTTGCATCTTGCCGGGCACCACCATTTTTAAATCCCCCTTAGTGCGGACTCCGTGCCCGCGGCTACACGCTACTCCTTGTGCTCTTCTTCAGGTCTGTGAAAGGAACTTTCAGGCTATGTCCATGCTACAGCAGCATAGCTGCACTGATATAGCCTCCCCATTATAGCACTTCTGGTGAAGATGCGTTAAGCCAATGGGAGAGAGCGTTTCCATTAGCATAATAACTCCTGCCTCTGAGAGAGGCAGTAGCTATCTCAGCAGGATAAGCACCTGAGCCACATAAGTTATACAAAATAATGTATAGGGTAAACATAGCCTCCGCATTACAGCAAAATGCAAGGTGAAACAGATTCCTTAGCATAGGTGGTTAGCAAATATTGTAAGGGACCATTCAAGTTACAGTGGCCTGTTAGCACTCCTGCAGTCATAGGGCCAGAGGTGAAAGTAAGCCGGTATACTTCGGACTTAGGGTTGCCAGATGGTTTCAACAAAAATACCAGACACACTTGACATTATATCACAACAGACATTACATCTTATTTAGAAAATACTGGACATTTATATTTTCTCAATTTGTTTCCCAAACAGAAAGTTAAAATACTGGACTGTCCAGTTCAAAACAGGACACCTGGCAACCCTATGGACCATCATTCTGGTAAGAAGGAGCCGACCGCCAGGGACACTTGGCTGCAGGAGGAGGCGGTGTGCTCCAGCCAGGCTCTTGGGGAATCTCAATGAGGAATCTCATTGGGTACTGTTGTGAAGAGTTTCAAAACTATTACCATGGATAATTCTCTGAAAACATCCACTCAATGTGCAGCAGCAGTCAAAAAAGCAAACAGAATGTTAGGAATCATTAAAAAAAGTATAGGATGTCTACACTGCAGCATTATTTCAAAATATCTTATTTCTAAATAGTTAATTCAAAATAAGTTATTTCAAAATAACACATCTACACACAAAATGCATTTTGAAATAGGTTTTGCTATTTTGAAATAGCGTGTCCACACTGAGTGGATGCTGAACTCATTTAAGGCCGGCCAGAACCAGGTCCGGCGGGGCATCAGATCAGGAACTACTTTGTGTGGCTGCTGCCTGAGGCCTGTGCTTAAAGGGAGCCCCCTGAACAGCCAGTTCTCAGGTTTCCCTACTTGCTTGCCTACCTCGATGAGGGACAGCAAAGCATTTTGTCTCGGCATGCTTTGGTTGCCCTCACTCGGACACCACAGCACTCTGCAACATGGAGCCAGACCTGCCCCTGGGCACTCTGGTGCTTCTCTTGGACACATTGTGAGCCTGGCTGCACTTTCTACAGGCTGCCATCCGGAAGGTCCATCGGGGGGCTGTCAGTATCCAGAAATCCCTGTGGGAAAGCTTCCAACTTGAGGAGCACTAAGAGCCTCCCTGGTCTGCCCCTTTAGGGGCTTATGCCTCATTCCTCCCTCACGTCCTTCCACTTACCCTTCCCTAGCCCACTTCCTGATGTAAAATAAAATACACGTATTTTCATGAACATACACTCTCTTTATTTAACAAAACTGGGGTGGGGGGAATGAAACTCTGGTGAGACTGGGGAAAGGAGACAGGAAAAAGGAAGAGAGAAGGTGGGAGAGGGCAGGGGGAAGGGGGAAACCTGGGAGGAGGGAGCGGGAAGGGGGAAGCAAGGAAAGAAGGGGGAGGGGAAGCTCAGGGCTCAGTGTTGGGGGTCTCGCCGGACCAACTGGGTTCATGCAAACCTGCTCCTGGGTTCACATGTGGCCTTCAGTGGCCAGGCTGGAAGCTATCCTGCCATACATGGCCACATTCCTCTGTCTTTTGTGGAGATCATGGACATTGGGGGCATCCCTCCCAAATCTGAATAAGGTCCATGATCTCCATCCTGGACAAGGAAGATGCCCGCCTTCTCCAGCCCCTGTCAGACTCCTGGGTGCTGGCAGACTGCTCCTGGGGAGTGGTAGAGGGCTGGCTGCCAGTGGCTTGCTGGCTCATGTTTTGGGGCCACTGGGTCAGGGACAATGACTGCTGGCTCTGGGCTGGCAGGCTTGGAGCTGGCATAGGCACGGTGGCCAGAGTGCATACCCCTTTAAGGGCTCTGGAAAGAGGGGAAGGGAGAGAAGTGTTCTTGGTTGAAGCCAGAGTGGCCACCAGGGCACCCTGGGAAGGCTGGAGGCCCCTTATTTCGAAATAAGTATCTACATAGCACTTATTTCGAAATAGCAAATTTGAAATTGGCATTATTCCTCATGGAATGAGGTTTACCAATTTCGAAATAAGCCCTCCACTATTTCAATTTAATTTTGAAATAACGGAATAGCTGTGTAGACGTTAGGATAGTTATTTCAAAATAACTTTGCTGTGTAGACATACCAATAGAGAATAAGACAGAAAATATTTTAGGGTACATCTACACAGCAGGGCGTAACTCAAAATAAGCTATATAATTTGAGCTACATCAATTGAGTACCTTATTTCAAAATAGCTTATTTCGAGTTTTGGTGCTGTCTATGACTCCTTTCAAAACAGAGTACTCTTCCTCTGATTTCCCTTACTCCTCATAAAATGAAGGCTACAGGAATTGGAGTAAGAAGTCCTCCAGCTTGACAGTATTTTGACATTATGTTGAGGTGTAGACTAGTCTTATTGCCTCTCTATAAATTCATGGTTTGCCTACATATTGAATACTACATACAGATTAGAGATGTTAAATAGTCTTTAGTAAGCTAATTGAGTAGTTGATTGAATTTCCATCAACTACTCAATTAGTCGATATGTGGGTTTGCTGTGGCTCTGCTTTTTAAATATTGTAAGAGCCACCAGCTCTTACAACATTTAAAAAGCAGAGCCATAGCATCTGAGATAACTGATATTTAACATTCCTAACTGAATAGTCGATTAACCTCATGAATTCTTATCAGTTACTCGACTATTCTACTGCCCCCAGGAGTGGGGCAGCAACGAGTGCGCTCCAACCCCACTCCCGAGGAGCCCCCTGCCACTCTGTGCTGCTGTTTCTGTATCAGAGGCAGTAGCATGGGGTGCCAGGTGGGAGCTGGTCTGTACTGAAAATAGTTTAAAAATCAGCTCTCCTTGCAGACCAGCTGCCTGTTGCCCCACATTGCAGCCTCTGATACAGAGGCAGCAGCACGGGGTGGCAGTAACCCCTGTTTGGGGAGGGTCTGAGCTCCTGGACCCTGCACAAACTGGAACTGAGCTTGTCTGTCTGCTCGTCTGGCTCCTAATACAGGTGACCCCCACACTTATGACCTAATTTGTTCCTGGAAAACCGTCATAAGTCAAGCCATTGTAAGTCGAACCCTAATTTCCCATAGGCACAATGTTATAAATCATGGGTTCGTTCCTGGAAACCCATTTCATACCCTAAAAATACCAAAATTGACTATGAAAATGGAGGGAAACTAAACTAAATAGTTCAAATAATGCACAAAAACACTAAAAAGTGAAAACCAATGTGGTGGAGATGCATGCAGTTCAAATAGCAGCCGCAGACTGGCGAGTCTGACTGACCTTGTGGGTTTCCTGTTTTGGGATGACGCGTGGTGTCTGCGCCATACGCCATCATAAACGTGAACTGAAGACATAAATTGGGGAGGGAGAGTTAAGGAGCTATCTCGCATGAAAAAAATGGTCATAAATGAGGGGGTGTCGTAAGTCTGGCAGCCATGAGTCGGGGGTGTCACCTGTACACTTTAAATGCAGAGCCACAGCGGGGGCAAGTGCTGGACCTGGTGTAAGCTGGTACTGAGCCGGGCTGCTGACCAGCCTGCTAAAAAAATTATTGGCAAGGGGAGGGGGAATGCCTTGTAGTCGATAGCATTAACCTATAAGCTTTTGCTTACTGGTTAATTGGTAAATCGACTATAATATCACAACTCTAGTCTGAAACCGGATGTGAGCCAGGGCAGCTGAGTTCGGGCTCACGTTGGGTCCCAGATGCTGCATCTCTGCCTTTCAAATGTAGTAAGATCCCTCAAGCTCTTACTACATTTAAAATGCAGAGCCACAGGGAACCCCCTTAAAGCGGTGAGGAGTCCTGTAGCACCTTATAGACTAACTGAAGTGTAGGAGCATAAGCTTTCGTGGGCAAAGACCCACTTCGTCAGATGCATGTAGTGGAAATTTCCAGAGGCAGGTATAACTATGCAGACCAGTGAACCCCCTTGTTGACTAATTGAGTAGTCAATGGACATTTCATCAACAACTGGATGACCTTACTAACTGCTATTTAACAACTCTAACCAGTACACAGTATTCAAGAAATATGCAGATGCCAACTCAAGAATCACATACATTTAATAAAAAAATATTTTGTGATGGTTATGCCTGAGATGATTCTGCTTTGTTTCAATTATGTCAACTCATTTCACAAACATTAGTTGAGTATTATTCCACTTCTTATTCATGTGACCATTGAGGTACAGATCAGTTACTTCTACAGGATTCTGCAGCAAATCTCTGGGAGAGCTAGGAACATAATACAGAAGTCCTGACCCCACACAATCCTCCATGTTGAAAATGGTATTGTTATCAATAAAAATACATACAGAAATGATCATAAAATATTCTGCTGCTTGGCTAGACCTTGTTCAGAAGAGTTTAAGAAACTGGCAAATGTAGAAAAGGGAGCTGAGCTACTGCAACAGAGGATTCTGAACCAAACCAAAGCTGAGGTAGACAGGGAAGCTCTCTAACTGCAACACAGAAGAGGGAGGCTAGCTCCCTTGCACATCCCCATAGACGATACAGAAATGATCATAAAATATTCTGCTGCTTGGCTAGACCTTGTTCAGAAGAGTTTAAGAAACTGGCAAATGTAGAAAAGGGAGCTGAGCTACTGCAACAGAGGATTCTGAACCAAACCAAAGCTGAGGTAGACAGGGAAGCTCTCTAACTGCAACACAGAAGAGGGAGGCTAGCTCCCTTGCACATCCCCATAGACGGGGGGTGTAGGGCTGTAAAACCCACACAGCTACCCTCC